CATGTATAGTATTCACTGCGTACTTAATAAAGCTGTTGTTGAACAGTGATATATCCTTAGTCAATTACTCATCTGAAAACAAAAAAACACTGTGTGACAAGGTGTACTATTGTTCATGCTAAATTATTTACTGAGCCACGAGCTTTTGTAAACTTCAGCGCCAATTAATCTCAAGAACCTCTTTTGTGTGAGAGCTTAATCGTTTGCTAATTAGCGCCCTTGCTAACAGACACTCTCAGTGGAAATATACGATTACATAGCCCATCGACAGGCTCAGTAAACAAAGGCTATTTGCCAAAATGCAAAAGCAGTTGTTGTAAAGCCGAAGAGGGGCAAACCTATCTTTTGTTTGTGTGCGTGCGTGTGCAGCCTACTGTATTTGAGTGTGCGTGTATTTATGTGTGAATGAGTGACAGAGGAAAACAGAGAAAGTGATACTCAGGAGAGAAAGGGAGGAAAACAAAGAAAGAGTGTGCTTGTTGGGGGCATTTTGATTTTGCTGCGTACCTCACACTGATTGCGTGTTAACCAGATTTATGTGAACATGTTGGTTTGTTTGTAAGTGACAAACAAACAGAGCGCTGAGAGTCTATGGTCTAGACAGCCTGGAATAGATGACCTCAGACAGATGGCTCAGTGCAGCAAAACTGAGAGAAAGGACCTGGTGGGTGTACTGAGACAGACAGAGAGAAAAAAGAGAGACCAAGAAAAGGAGAAGGAGGAGAGGAGAGGAGAGGAAAGAGGGCAGCTATGTTATCTAACAGATGTGGGTAGGTTGTTTTATGACCAGTGGTGGAAAAGTAACTAAGAACATTTACTCAAATGTTGTATTCAAGTACAAATTTGAGCTACTTGTACTATACTTGAGTATTTTGATTTTAATGTCTTCTTCTGTTCCACTGCATTTCAGAAGGGAATACTGTGCTTTTTTTCTCCACTACCTTTATTTGACAGCTACAGCCAATGGTTACTTTTCAAATTAAGATTTTAGATTAAGAAAGAAAACAAGAAAGAAAACATATGGTTACCTTTTCAAATACCGTGCAATTTAAAAGATTAAACCAGTGGTTCCCAATCCTTTTTGGTGTGCCCTTGTGCTTAATTACACGTATTTGCATTCGCTCAGGAGCCTGTTGGGGATAGCCTACTGTAACCGAATAAAGAAATCTAGAAATCCTTACTCTGAAATTTGAGCAGTGTTGATAGTACAGTCTGTGTGCCGAGGTAAAATTAGCGAGTAGCTGTAGCCTGTCACTGATTGAGTAGGCTTAAATGCGGGAGTAATAGGTGGCCAGGTAGCCAGGGAAAACATCTTGGCAAGCTAACTTTATATGGGATTACCCATTAGCCACCGCTCCGGTTAGCATGTAGGCTAGCTACGTTTATAAACTACAAGTAGCTATGTTAGCCAGTTAGCCACTTGCAGAGATCAACTTAATTATTAAGTTCATGTTACTTAGAAATGTGTTTTATTGTGGCCAAAAAGCTTCTTCACCTAACTTAAAACATTATATTGGATCAACTTAAATACTTGCATTCATGTTGACAATTATTAAGTTCATGTTACTTAGAAATGTGTTTTATTGTGGCCTAAAAGGTAATTCACCATACTCAAAACATTGCTTTGAATTAATTAAAATAATTAAAAACGTTAACATATTTTTTTTTGTTGATCCAATGTTTTATTTTTTGTTACATGTAATGGAGTATTTTTACATCGTAGCACTTTTACTTTGGTAAAGGAACTGAGTACTTCTTCCACCACTGGATATGACAGTATTTTTACTGATAAACAGAAGTCTTTCCATCTATCTGCTTCAGTCTGATTCCTCGTCCTGCTGTTTCACTAGGTGCTCCAGTCTGTGTCCTTTTAAGGAATCAAGGCTCATGAGATTGGAGAAAGAGGAACATGATTACAGAAAAATAATAAGTATAAACGCACGTGGAGCTGGAGGGAAACAGTGGGGTGGTGGAACCGATTCTGAAGAAAATGTTTGGTGACAAATCTAAAAGAAGAAAGAAGAAGGGAAATTAATAGGATGATGTCTTTTTTGTCTCATCCTCACCTTTCTCTGACTCTCTCTCTCTGTCTGGATCAGATCATTTGCTCCCCTGACTGCAGTTGTGCTTTTCAGTGATGGAGTGTAACATGCTGGGGCTTAGCTTTGATTGTCACCACAGGCCCACAGATTACATGGAGCCACAGTCAATGGGAAAGGAGCTAAGTCCCCTGTGATGGAGTACATCTTCAGCCTTCAGCCAACCTGCCTCCCGGGCTTCCAGCCAGTTGGGAATCCTGCTCAATCCATCAGTCAGTCAGTCAGCCAGTTGGTCAACAAGCCAGCCAAACTGTCGCCAAGTTTATCAGTCAGTTAGACAGGTTTCACGCCATTAACTCTACGTCTGTACTACTTCCCTTCCTTGGGGGAATGAATGGTTGAGGTGATCTACTATGATCAGACTGTGGCCCCCTGTAGTCCATCGCACCATGTTCCCACCTCAGGCTTCCTGAAGGAGACAAGAGAAAAAGGAGAGAATGTAGAAACACCTGATAAAGGAGAAATACTGAAGTATAAAATATACTCTTTTATAATGAGTTTATACTGTATACAATACAGTACATTTTATACAGTATATAAATATATATTTAGCTAAATGGAACAGCTTAATTAATTGGTACTCAACAATTGGTGTCTGCAACAAACTATTAGTGACATTGTTAGTTATTTTTAGGATAAATCAATTAATACTTTATCTATATTTTATATCTCCTATGTGAATATTATAAGGTCTGCATTTTTGCTTGATCTATTTTCTGTCAAACTCAGCCCTTAATCGATCTATTTCTCTGTTATTAAATCGAAATAACCAGACTTTGGGAGCAGGTCTCTTTAAATTTGTCTTTTAAATACAAATTTACAGACAGGGAGCAGAAATGAAGAGAGTGAGTGAACAAGGAGGGGGAAGAATGAAGCAAAAACAATGGAGGAAGGGAATATAATTTAAAAACTCCAAAGTAGAGGTTAACTGTCTATTACCTCTGTGAGTATCAGAGTACCATCTATCTATCTATCTATCTATCTATCTATCTATCTATCTATCTATCTATCTATCTATCTATCTATCTATCTATCATTTCTTCCACTTCGTCTCTCCCTCTTATCACAATCTCTATTATTTTGGAGCTGCCCTTCACTTTCAGTGGTGGCAATAAGCATCATCACTGAATTCATGGACATATGATTATAATGATACTTTACCATATATTACCAGAACATAACAACAAGCATGTGACCCAGTCAGATCGTGTTTGACTTGATTTGACTTATTCACCTAACATGACCTATTAACCTTTACTGTCTCGCTCTTCTCTCTATCTCTGTATCTTCCTCGCTCTTTCTCGCCTCCTTCCTCCGCCGCTTCCTCCTCCTCCTCCTCCTCCAGCATCCTCTGGAACACATGGTTATTGCCTGCTAGTGGTTGTCATGGTGATCGACCCCAAGGGACTCATCCCAAAACCAAAAGTTCTGCTTGTCTGAAATAGAACCTCCGCCTCTCTCCAAGGGGATAGGGGTTCATTTGGCACATAGGGAGGCAGCAGAGGGGGTGGGTGTGGGGGAGGGGTGGGGGAGGGTTCAGTCAAGGAGAGAGATGAGAGAGTGAGTATAGGGGAGAGAGAGAGAGAGAGAGAGAGAGAGAGAGAGAGAGAGAGGCAGTGTGCATCCATTCCAACTGGGTCACATCACGGGAGCATTGCGTAAGCGTAAACACTGCTGCCCCTGTGCTATGCCCTTAGCACACATACACACACACACATGTGACACACTGTGTCTTTCCTGAGCGTACTACTGTCTGGGAATCAGTCTGTAGTGTTTTTCAGATCATGAATGGCACCAAGCCATGGTCTATCTCTTTTCTCTTGTGCTCTCTCTCTCAGTGGATTTGCAATAAGTACATCATGACAGTGGAGTGAACCCTCCTCTCTGTTAGCCGCCAGACTGGACAGCAGCATGACGTAGCACTTCTTCCCTGCTGCAAATCCAAAACCACACACACACACACACACACACACACACACACACACAGTGGTCTGTGAAGAAAACAATGTGTCCTGCAGTCATCATGACCTCTAGTTTTTGCAAAGCAAAACTGTAAATGTACCAAACCTGCATCATTCCCATGACCACCAGCACATCACTACACTGTGGGGCCTTCTGAGGACTTCAGCTGTTGATCAAACTCACATATGCGTGTCAGTTACTCCAACAGGTCATCATTAAACCTTCCACAGTGCATTTATTTGACACTGAAGTATCACTGGATATCCTGGACATGTCCTTGGTGGTGGAGCAGCTGCACAGCACCAGTAGGCCTACTTCAAGCATGTAGATTATGTACAGGAAGGCTTCATATGTGGCCACATCTTCCCAGTTGTTTACAGGGCCTGAGGAGTGCTTGCCTGTTCCCAACATGCTCTAGCCTACTCTGCACATGTTTGGATATCTTAACACCTTTTTTAAATAAACACCAATGCAAATGCATAGTTGATATTTGTGAGGGTTGTTTGCGCAGTGCGCTGTGCATGTGTCGGTAGAGGGTGTGATTGTCTATAAAAGGAACAGCCATAGCCAGTTGTTTAAAATCCTAGTTGGACGGTTTCAAATCCCCCCCCTTTGCACTGAGAGAGGAGAATAGAGGGAGGGAGTGCGGATGTGTGCATGTGTGTGTCAGTCAGTCGGTCTGTCTGCATGTCAGGAGAGGCCTTTCCAATCAGGGAAGAGACACTGACAGACAGACAGACAAGCAGACAGACAGACTTCCGACAGACAGAGCAGCAGGAAGCAGAGGGAAAGACAGAGCGGAGCAAAGAGAGAGAGAGAGGGTAAGGGGGTGTGGCTATTACAGGAGGGGCGTGGTTAAGTATGTCACTCACTGGCGGTTGCCATGGCGAGGGGGCGGTCCCGAACAGCGGGACATCCAATGGGAGACGACGCTGCTTGTGTCACCATGGTGACGGGGCTGTGCCCAGGGAGGTTGTGATGGGTTGACAGGTGCGTGACAATCGGAGCTCTCTGCAAGCATGTACGCCAAAGGCAAGAGTAGCAACGTGCCGTCCGACAGCCAAGCCAGAGAAAAGTAAGTTTTATTTATGGGGGGAGGAAACCGCGGCTGTGAGGGAAGTTCACGAGCGGCCGGGGGCAGTCACACACGGAGCTGCGGCAGGGGAGGGCGCACGGCGCTCCACTCGGCGGCATGGGGCTCTCTGCTAAGCGCTCGATCTGCAAGGCTTGGAAAGTTGACTGCTTCATTTATTTGAAGAAAGATAGACATTTTGTCGGCGGTGTTGTAGGCTACTGTAGACAAAGTAGGTTAAAATTTAACACGCGGTGTCTGCTTCACTGGTTAATTTCAGGTTCAAGATGTTTTTTTTATTCTAAATCTAGCAACATCCTCCTCTTGGCATTTCTGCGCTTGTTGTCTAGTTCATTTCATTCCCAGCTGTCAGTTTATAATTTTGCATTGTGTTTGTGCTTGTTTTTAGCCTACACGTGCATTTCAATTTTCCTATTAAGTAACAACGTAGCCGTTTTGTAAACATGCGGAGAAAAAAATAATAAGACCGTCACGGGTCTGTCGGCTGTGAGAAGCGACAGCAAAGTCCGCGCATTTGACCGCTCACCAGCCGCTGTGTCTTTTTGAGCTACCGCTTTCCAAAGAGACTGTCTTGCCTTGAACGCTCCTTGAGTCTAGTCGCCGCTACAGAAGATGAGCTTTGTGACAGCAGACAGTCATCTTGTCTCCACTCATTTGGCGAGACAGGAACAGCCGATCTATTTCTGTAAAATAGCCTACTTGCCCGTATGGGAGAGGATGTAGGCGCAACAATTTCTGTTTGCATATCAGCAAGCCGAGATACGCGGGGTGGACACGCTTGTCGTGGCTGTGTGGTGGTTTATGCCCGTTGACAGGGTTCACAGACAGAGGACCGAGTTTGACCCAAGTATTAAACTAATTAGGCCTTTTCCTTATCAGAAAAGAGCGTTTACATTATAGAGTTAAGACTTAGTTTTAATAGAATTATCACATCAGCTCAGGTTGTTCCAAATACCTAAACTTGTGAAAATGTGCAGTCTGTAGATACAGTTTGGTACACCAGCCATTTGTCCTACTTTTCAACATTAGGCTATCTGCTGTAGCCTAATGCACAGGGTGTGAAAACTAACACTAAATTGAGATGTTCCAAAAGTAGATACACAGAGAATAACAGATGCTAGAGTGCTTTAAGGTGATGCCCCTGTTCAGTTGCATTCAACCAGGCATGGCTGCTCAGTACTTTTTGGTTGCTGAGGGTCAGATGGTCTCTGTGGTTTGGACCTCCACAGTAAAGCTATTCAGAGAGAGAGAAAGTTATAGTATGACAGAGAGCCCTTGCATTTTACTTGTATTCATCATTTGTTGCCAGCTATGAGAGTCCATTGAGGTTAATTGTCCTGGTAGTATGTCCATAAAAGACTAGATTAATCGTCTCACCTCTGCTCCCAGCTGCTGCTTCTCATTTATTGTGTCTTTTGGATCCAGTTCACCCATGTTTGTCCACAGCGTGATTGAGTGTTCAGCTGCATCCCTTGAGCCCAATTCTTTATCCCCAATCGATTTGAAAAGGATAGGACTGAATAGTGTCGCTGCCTCATTGCATGCACTGACAGAGGCAGAGAGGGAAACGCACGTAAGCATGTATATGTGACGAGCTTTTCTGTTGATAAAACACAGTAGATACTTAGTGTAATTGTCATTTAGTCACCTGATAGTTTTGCAGAGCAGATCAGTTCACCTATGATGATGAGACTTCAGTTCACATTTTCAGACATGCAGGCCGATAAGTTGATCACCTTCTGTCTTCGAAGGAAACATCTACCTAAACTTTGATCATAGATGTGACAGACATGATCTTTCATAAGGAAAGACCCGCACTTTTGGAGCTGGAGTTTCACATTCATGGACGCCTGACTTTGTGTGATTGAAACAGGGCTGCAACTAACAATCATTTTCCTTGTCGATTAATCTGTCAGTTATTTTCTCAATTCGTTGTTTGGTCTATGAAATGTCAGAAAATGGTGAAAAAAATTCGATCAGTGTTGCTGAGGAAAGAAACCAGAAACGATTCACAATTAAGAAGCCAAAATCAGAGAAGTTTTACTTTTTTTTTCTTAGAATATTACTCAAAATTACTCAAACTGATAAATTGATTATCCAAATAGTTGTCAATTAGCTTAAAAACTCATCAATTAATCGTTGCAGCCCTAGAATGAAAGAAAGATTGAACGTTTTGACCATCTACAGTGGCATCTTCTGATTATATTGGAGATTAGTCTTCCTTCTTGTTAAAATTAACAGCTACTTACCATTTCTGTTCTATAAGGGATTTTGTCAAAGATGGTCATATACGAGTATATACTGTCCTTGTGTGCTGATCTAGACTGAGGTGCCTCTGAAATCAAAACAGGCGAGATCTTTCCTGCAGACACTAAACTTCCTACTGTATTTGGACTTCCATGCTGTTGTAGATACCTGTGTTTACATTTTGAGGCAGGCGCGATGTTCCATTAATAGGACGTTAATGCCAAGACCACGACAAAATAAAGGACAGGGTAACACGAAAACACCAGATGAAAACGCAGTGAAAGGGAAACATCAGGCACGGCAGAGTTTCATTTGTCTCTTAACAAGCAGCCTTGTTTATCAGTGGTATGTATCAGAGAAGCAGAGCAGGCCCAGCGCTGCCGAGTCTTCAGTTGTTTCTCATTTCTGCAGCGCAGCAGGGGATAAGAGAGTGGGAGAGACAGAGGGCAACAACAGATTGAGGGAAAGAAGGAGGAGGGAGAGAGCAGGACTGAGGGAATTTGCTGGATCATTAGTTTACAGTGTTGTAGTATTGACCTCAGAATGGACCCCCGCAGACACAGGGCTCTGGCATCTCGCCCATGTAGATGTAGAGGTGTTCTAAATGCAACTGACCTCTATGCAGCCCTGTTCAGTGGTGCGTGCGTGTGTGTGTGCGATAAATATCTGATTTGTGTGGTGTGTCCTTGCTATAGATGTATTTTTGGGAATATACTTTATGGCCACACAAGGCTAAAATATCAGAGATCTCCAAATATTTATCTAGTAGTTTTGCGGTTTGCATACTTGGAGATAAAAAGTAATATAAGCGTTATATAAAATCTGTCTGTGGGAGAATCACAAAAATGTTGCACTTTTTTCTACATTAAATGGGCCGACTGTATAAAGGTGCAGATTTACTAAATCCGCCTGAGGTTACCAGACAAAATAACGGAAGCTTCATTATTTCTCTCTTAAGAAATTGTGTGGACACTTTACAGTCTCTGTGTCCACATTCAAATTCAAATTAGCTTTATTGGCAATTAATGTATAACAACAATATTGCCAAAGCATCATACAAACTACCTAAGAACAATCAACCCCATACATTTCATTACTACCTATTGCTTTGCATGACATTTAAGGTATTCTGCATGAGGAGTCATTGTAACATACGACAGCTCAAATGTCTATAAACACAATAATTCATCCGCACGATTGTTATAAAAACATACTTATGCCTCAATGAAAATTCTGTCCATAATTTATTAAAGTCATTATAGTTAAGCTGTACCTGATATTTCTCCAGACTGCATGTACTTTTCTGCAATTGTAAGCACACAGTTCATGAAGTACACAATAGATGTGGCTAAAGCTGTTATCATTTGTTCATATTTAATCTGTCCCCTTTACAGAGAAGGATATGCAGATAAAGAAAAACAGATGAGGAAAAGGATGTCTTAAGGATCAGTGTACCCAAAACATAAAAATACATAAATAAACAAAACACATATTGTCTTACTTACCGCTAACTGTATCACGCCACACAGATAGTTCAGGTTAGAGGTGCCACGGTAGTAGGATATCTGCTTCTGAAAATAGTGCAGCAGCGCGCCAGTTCAATAAAGGTGGATGTAATTTTGTTTGTGTAGTTCAAAGCTCTAAAAGCTGACATTTGAAAAACTCAGAAACATGTCTGTGCAGAAACAGTGTCCCTGACCTAGGACCTTTTTATCAGTAGAAAGTAGTTCCAGTCACAAACTTTTGGCAGCAAGGTCTAGGGATTACGCTGAGTAACAAGGACATCTGCAAAGAAAGCCCAGACTATCTGTAAACAATATGTATTTTATGATTTATTTGAACTGATCCTTGACAGGTTTAAGAGAATATAGTGCAAATCACACAACTGTGGCTTTAAGGAGGGAGGAGGAAAATAATATAATATAAATATTATATTAATATTTTATAGCACCATACTGTGTGTTTGTAAATAAAAACCTGATGCAGACATTGTTTAATATGTATTCCTTAAACTTATGCTCCACGTGTGTGTGTGTGTGTGTGTGTGTGTGTTTGTGTGTGTGCAGGGATGAAAGGCGATAGAAAGCCGTCTCTACACCTATCTGCCTGTAGTGAACATTCTCTCTCGGTCTCAGACAGCAACACTGCTCTATTTTTTCTCTCGCTCTCTCTGGCTGTACCTATGTTACGGTCTGCACTTGATTTTGATTCAGAGTGACAGTACACGACCACTGGCTGTGTACTGCAGTTGTTCGACGAGTGTAGGTTTCAGTCACTAGCAGTTAGAGGACACATTCCACATAGTTCTGGGATTGTGGTCCTGAGTGAGTTGCATTGCAGCACATAGTACACATTCCTTTTTCCCCCTGTTCTGTGTGTGTGTAATGAATCATGGAACAAACACTGATTAACAGACATGCTTCTCGCTTCTCTCCGTTTCTCTTGGTTTCAGAGACATACAGCACTTTTCTGGTTTTAGTGGATTTTTTCCTAGAAAGTACAATGTGCATTTTATTTGTTTTGTTTTTTACTCATCAGATTAATAAGCTCCAACTGTGAACTCACAGTCCAATGATCATAAGTGCCATGTTGTTCAGTCTGTAGTTCAGCTGCCAAGTATAAATGTGGTGCAGACTTAAGCATTTCTGGAGCTGTAAGGATCATCATTCTGCACACATACACACACACACACACACACACACACACACACACACACAGCTACTTCTGAACCGAGA